GTGAAGCTGCTCTGTACAACTGAATACAATGTGGAATCTTGAATAAGTTATGAAAAAAGATAATGGACACTAGCATAAGACTTTGTGAAATTTGAAGAAAATCTGTGCTTCAGTTAATAATACTGTATCACATATTAATTTTCTGGGTTTTTTTTTGCATCGTTGTATTTCTTTATATTCTCAGAATTGGATTGAAAATGTCAAGCCTCATTCAAATAGAAAAAAAAATCACAAAGATAATAAACTTTCTAGACTTTCAGCAGTAATACTAGATGCCAGAGTAAGTGGAACTATATCAAAGTTTTGAGTGAATATAAGTTAGAAATCTAGGATTCCATTCATGCTTAAGCAAACAAGTGGAACCAAAATGTCATATGTTTTTTTAGCTAAGTGAAAATTCATGTTTCTAAAATATATTTATTATACATGTTTCACTTTTTCTATTTCATAGTTAGTGCTTCCATTTTATTTAAATGCTTTCCAATTTCTCCCTCTTACTTTTTGTTGTTCTTTCTCAAGCCTTTATCGATTGCATTTAAATAAAATGGGAGCACTGACTATGAAATAGAAAATGTGAAACAAACTAGATAAAAGTAAAAAGTCATACTATAGTCCAGTTATTTTTAAATATGGCTGTTTATTAGAATCACATCTGAAGGTTTGGAGGGAAAAACAATACCTTGGCACTTGTATTTTACAAAAAAATTTCAAGATAATTTTAATGTGCATCTGGATTTTAAAAAGTGATTGCAGGTTTTTCTATTAAATGACAGTTTCAGTGATATAGAATTTACTATTTTCTGTTGACCAGTCATGACACAATGGTGTTAAAATGAATAATAGTTACATAATCACAGTAGTAAAAAATATTTTATCAGTTTTCATGATAAGTAGCCAGATAAAAAATAAAAGATAGTTTACAATTGCAAGCTATAATGGAAACATGATTAACCTTACGATATAAAATGCTTACATACAATTTGAGGGGTTAAGTAGAGTGATGTAGTAATTGGAAGTGCATTGGAAGTGCATACTTCCAATTGGATGTGCATAATTCCAAGTGTTTTCATCCACCCAGCCAGTCTATGTTTTTTGGTTGGTGCATTTAATCCGTTTACATTTAAGGTAACTGTCGATATATATGATCCTATTGCTGTTTTCTTAATTGTTTTGAGTTTTTTTTTTGTAGGTCTTTTCCTTGTTTTTTTTTTCTCCTTAGAGAAGTTTCTTTTCATTTTATATCCTGTGTTCCCTTCCGCCTTGTTCCTTTTGCGTTTTATATTATGCTATTCCCTTCTGATTTCTGTTGAGAAATCAGCTGATAACCTTATGGGAATTCCCTTGTATGTCATTTGTCATTTTCCCCTTGTTTTTAATATTTTATCTTTGTATTTAATTTTTGTTAGTTTGATTACTGTGTGTCTTAGTGTGTTCCTCCTTGGGTTTATCCTGCCTGGGAGTCTCTGTGCTTCCTGGACTTGGTTGAATATTTCCTTTTCCACTTTAGGAAAATTTTCAGCTGTTCTATTTTTAGGGGTTTTCTTGGATGCTTCCTCTCTCCTCCTTTTGGGACCCTTATAATGCAAATGTTAGTGTGTTTAATGTTGTCCCAGAGGTCTCTTTGGCTGTCTTCATTTTTTTTTTTTTCATGTTCTTTTTTCTATATTCTGTTTTGTGGCAGTGAGAGCCACCATTCTGTCTTCGAGACCAATTACCTCTTCTTCTGCCTGTTATTCTGCTATTGGTTCCTTGTGCTGTATTGTTCATGTCTGTTTGTTCTTTAGTTATACTTGGTCTTTGGTAAACATTTCTTGTATCTTCTCCATTCTTTTTCCAAGATCCTGGATCATTTTCACTATCATTATTCTGAATTCTTTTTCTGGAAGGTGCCTGTTTCCCCCTTTTTTAGTTGTCTTTCTGTGATTTTATCTTGTCCCTTCATCTGGGACATAATTGTCTGCATTTTCATTTCCATTAGCTTTCTGTTATGTGGTTTTTCTTCTGGTGGCTGCAGGATTGCAGTTTTTCTTGCTTCTTCTGTCTTCCCTCTGGTGGATGAGGCTAAGAGACTTGTGTAAGCTTCTTGATTGGAAGGACTGGTGGTGGGAAAAACTGGATCTTGCCCTGGTGGGCAGGGTTGTGCTTAGTAAAACTAATCTGGGGACTTCCCTGCTGGTCCAGTGGTTAACCCTTCGCCTTCCAATGCAGAAGGTGCAGGTTTGATCCCCGGTTGGGGAGCTAAAATCCCATATGCCCTTTGAAGAAAATAGATCATAAAAAGCAGAAGCAATGTTGTAACAAATTTAATGAATACTTAAATTAAGAAAAAAAAAGTAATCCAGTTGTCTGCTTATGGGTGGGTATTGCACTCCCTCTTTGTTAGTTGTTTGGCCTGAGGCAACCCAGCCCAGGAGTCTACAGGATCTATGGTAGGATTAATGATGACCTCAAAGAAGGCTCACCAAGGGGCGCCTCCCAGGACTGCTGTTGCCAGTGCCTGTGGCAAGCCACTGTTGACCCACACCTCCATAGGAGACCCTCCAACACTACCAAGTAGGTCTGGTTCAGTCTCCTGTGGGAGGGGGATCCCTGCTCCTTTCCCCTGGGTCCTGGTGTGTTCAAGATTTTGTTTATGGTGCCCAAGTGGATGTCTCTGTTTCCCACAGTCCTGTGGAAGTCCTGTAATCAAATCCCACTGGCCTTCACAGTCAGATAGGGGGATTTCTAGTCCCTTTGCTGGATCCCCTGGCTGGGAAGCTTGATGTGGGGCTCGGAACCTTCACAACAGTGGGAGAAAGTCTTTGGTATTACTGTTCTCCAGTTTGTGGGTTGCCCGCCTGGTGGGTATGGGATTTGATTTTATAATGATCGCATTCCTTTTGCTGTCTTGTTGCAGCTTCTCCTTTGCCTTTGGATATGAGGTATCTTTTTGTGGTGGGTTCCAGCATCCTCCTGTCAATAATTGTTCAACAGCTACTTGTAATGTTGGTGCTCTCACAGGAGGAGATGAATACATGTTCTTACACTCAGCCATCTTGAACCCCTAGATAAGCTGTGTAGATGTCCTTTCATTGTTAGGTTCAAATAGTATTGAAATAGTAATTATCTTTCTATCAAAAGCTTTGATTAGGCTCCTGTGGGTGTTTTAGAATTCTGGTTTGCATGAAATTGGTTTAGTGGGCCATGATCAGTATTTTTAATAGAAATTGAAATAGAATGGAAAAGGGAACAATAAAGTGTGTTACATGTAGTAAGACAAAATTGTTTCTTGAAAATTTTGTTTCTGTGTGTGTGTGTGTGTGTGTGTATTCCCTATACTTGCGTACCAGGTTGCAATGTAAAATATATTTCTTGCAATGAGTTTGAGGTTAAAAAAAAAGTTTCAGAAATATCTTTGTAAAGTAAACAAGGCATTCTAGTAGAGAGTGTGATGCTGAAATTAGTAGTATTTATGGAAGGTTGAATTTTATGAGCTCTCCTGTTTACATGAAAAAATGTGATCATTCTTAGATGATGGTCACTCAGGGCTGCCCACACCACCTTTATTCACATTGTTTAAAAGCTTTTTCTTATATTCAACTGATATTAATCCCATTTTTGAATAACGTCCATGTATTGGTTTGAATAATAAGCCCTTCAGTCTCACTTATTCTAGACCAAGAATCAGCAAAGTATATCTTCCAGGCCAAATCTAGCTTGCCTCCTAATTTTGCAAATTAACATAGAAACATATTGGAACATAGAAACATCCATTCATTTATGTATGTATATGGTTGCATTTTTGCTTCAGTGGCAGTGCATGTCGTAATCGTAATCTGCTCAGAAAATGATAGTCCAGGTATAGTGTATAGTTTTGGGCAAAATTTTCAAAGGTGTGTTCCTAAAAAACTGATTTCCTGAGATGATCCTCAGTGAAAGGATGCTACGTAAAATAAGTTGGAAAACACTGTGTGATATATCCTTAGGCATTTATAGTGCTATAGAATATTAAAGGCTTCAGAAATCCCCAGTAAACGAACCTTTTTAGTATTATTTCCCATACATATTATGTGTGTGTGTGTGTCTATGTTTATGTGTATACAGAGTGCAGAGTATCTATTAACTAAAATTTGTTGGCATTCTGAGGGACATGATAGAAAATGCTGGGTTAAGGAAGTATCTTAAATATAAGGAGAGGCAGTTATTGGAAGTATAGGAAGCCTCTATTAAAGAAAGCTTTAGAAGTTAATATTGCTCATGTTTTGATAATGTTTAAGAAGGTGGGGAAGTTACTATTCTATAAACTTAATTTTTATATCTACTGATTCTTCAAGAGTGGCTACCAAAATGAGTCGTGCCAATTCATTTTAATATGAATTTTATGTAAATTTAAAGCTTGTTTACCTGATTTTTTTTACTATCTGATGGATAAATTAATTTAGAAAAGAGGGAATATGGAAGTGTTAGGAACTATCAAGAATTAATGATCCAAGAAATTAAGATAAAGTGTTTTCTAAAATTAGATTATAAGTAGAAACATTTGACCTGAGTTCAGTTCAGTTCAGTTCAGTCGCTCAGTCCTGTCTGACTCTTTGCAACCCCATGGACTGCGGCATGCCAGGCGTCCCTGTCCATCATCAACTCCCAAATTTTACTCAAACTCCCCGAGGTAAGTTCAATTTATGCTCGAGTAAGGTTCTTTGTAGGTTATTTTTTCTATTACAGTTTTTCTTTCCGTTTCAAATGAAAGTGTGATCTTTATTTGTGTTATATTAGTTTGTACTATTTCAAACTGAACATAATTTTTAGTAATTTTTTTTTTAATTGTTCAAAAAGTCATATAGATGTTCAGTAGAAAAGTTAATACAGTTTAATCCCAGGAGAATACAACTGAACCAAAATGTGGTGAAATATGGAAACGATCTGAATACCTACTCTAAATCTTGTCATTTAAAATCTTCATCTTAATCAGACTATTGTCTAGGTATTTATTATAAGTTTAAATTGTCTTCTCTCCACAGAATCAAGTGACGGATACTAATAGAAAACTACAACACGAGGGAAAGGAAGTAAGACCAGTTTACCTTTTGAAAAAATCTTTCCTGTTTCCTGTCATTCTCTTTGATGACTGTGTTCCTGATTTAGTGGCTTGTGAGGCCATAAGCTGCATGTTGGAGGAGATTGGACATTATCATTGCTTTTCATAATGTTTGTCTGAAGTAAATGAATATAACCACTAGAAAGCTTAATGAGAGTATGTAGCCTTCCTTAGTTGTATTTTTTAAATCACTTGAGTAGTCATAATATGGCCAGTGCTGTTTCCTCTGCCTAGAATCTTCTTTTTCCAATGTTTATGGACTTCAGATATTTGCTCATATGTTACCTCCTAATGAGGCCTTTACTAACCAACTTATTTAGAATTGCAGTCTCACTTTCACCTTTTGTTTTCTTTTTGCCTTTCCTGCCTAATTTTTCTCCATTGCACCTGTCATGCTCTGATACTATGTCGTTTGCCTTATATGTTTGTTTTTTTGGTCTCCTTCCAGTAGAAGTTAAGCTCCATGAGGTCAGGATTTTTTTTTTTTAAATACACTGCCATATCCCCTCTACCTGCCTAAACAATGACTGGCACAACATGAATGTGCCATAAGTATTTGTTAAAAAAGTGAATCATTGATTCTATTAATTGGTATATTCACCGTTTAAATCATAGTTTATAAGATCATTTGATGCCCATTTTCTCAGTTAATCCTCATGGCCGACCTGTGACAAAATTAGGACTAGTATTTTATTGACTAGGAAAGTAAAGCAAAAGTTTTATAGTAATTGGTATGGCTGAGACTAAAACCCAAGTCTTCTGACTTATAGTCTATTACTGTTCTCTGTATCATGTACCTTCCTTATTGCCTAATACTTATTTAATGTTTAATAATCTTTAAGATTAACCTTTGATTATCTTACCAATAACTTAATCATGACCACTTCTCTCTCTCTCTCTCTTTTTTTTTTGGTATAGTATCTAAGTACCTAACATTTTTAGGTATGGATATGGGATGAATTCTATAAGAGGCCATGTAGCTTATTGCTTTTTAAAAGTTTGTCTCACATATTTTAAGTTTTTGCAAAGAGCACAGTTTCTTTTCTTTTTATTGTCTATGACTTCAGATGGAAGACTTTAAAACTCTATGAGAAGATAAGTACTTGAGTTACTCTTCACTAAACTGGAACTCTTGGAAAAGCCACAACTTCTAAGTGTGTGGTTTATTCTCTATTGAAATAGAAATTTAGTTAAAGATTATTTTCAAGATTCATTTGAAGCTGTATAAGAAGGACTGTTTTCCTCTAGGCATCTAGCACTGATGAAAGAAATATAGGATCTTCTTATATTGATGAAATCATAAACATGAAAAGTCTGAATAGGGTTTGGAGCAAATCTGCAAGTTTTTTCTTTTTTCCTGGATAGCCCCTGAATTTTAAGATTTCATTTCGCCTAGCCTTTCCTAGTGTAGTATGTATGCATCTTGGGGAGAAAGGGGGAAACCATGCAGGGATGTTTTACTGGTTGAGAAAGGCAGTTCCTTAGTTCACTTGGCAGGTCTTACTATGAAACTGTCTGGGATGTTCTGATGAATTGAACATAGGATGGAAAAATGTGACTGAAAACTTTTTATTTACAGCTGTTGGCATAATTCAGTTTTTTTCCCTCTTGCCAAGCTGGTGATAGCAATGGAAGAGCTGAAGCAGTGTCGACTACAACAGAGAAATATTTCTGCCACTGTGGATAAATTAATGCTGTGTCTTCCAGGTGAGAAACTGGATATAGAGTTGAATTCTTAATGCAGTTTCTTTAGCTTTAATTAGTCTTTCACTGTCTTTAAATTATGCTAATGTGCTCTTTTTCCCTTCTCTTTAAAGTTCTGGAGATGTACAGTAAACTGCGGGACCAGATGAAAACTAAAAGGTAAATTTTTTTTTATTGAATACTTTGTGTTATCTAAAATTTGTTATTTAGAATTTTTTTTTAAAAGTCCATATTTAGCATAACCTTTCAAAAATTATTAAGTCCATGAGACATCTTCTCTAGCCTTTTGTATATCTATTGATTCATCCTGAGAGTTGCTATTATTTACATATACTAGTGGAGAAGGCAATGGCAACCCAGTACTCTTGACTGGAAAATCCCATGGATGGAGGAGCCTTGTAGGCTGCAGTCCATAGGGTCTCTAGGAGTCAGAAATGACTGAGCGACTTCATTTTCACTTTTCACTTTTATGCATTGGAGAAGGCAATGGCAACCCACTCCAGTACTCTTGCCTGGAGAATCCCAGGGATGGGGGAGCCTGGTGGGCTGCCGTCTATGGGGTCGCACAGAGTCGGACACGACTGAAGCAACTTAGCAGGAGCAGCAGCAGCAGTGGTATGCTGATGTATTTTGTCATGTATTATGTTTAAGAAAAAATACTACACATAGTTTGATTTTTAGAAGACCAAGTTTTTATAGGGGAAAGGCATATAACTGTTTTAGTGATAGTTAATTTCAGAAATATGCTTTGGTTTAGAAAAAATAGTTACTAGTTCTGGAGGTTCTCCTTTGAAACAGAACCAATAATGTATATATTTGTGTGTGTGTGTGTGGAGAGAGAGAGAGATTGATTTTTTTTTCTCTAGCAAATTGGTTCACATGATTATGGAGGCTGGCAACTCCAAAACCTGCATAGTAGATTAGTAGGCTAGTTAGTGTCAGGGAAGAGTGAATACTATTGCCTGAGTCTGAAGATAGTCTGCTGGCCAAATTCTATCTTCCTTGGGGAGTTTAGTCTTTTTTCTATCAAGGCATTTAACTGGTTTAATGAAGCCCGCTCACATTATGCAGATTATTCTTCTTTACTCGAAGTCTACTGATATAAGCACTGATAATCTTATGTCAAAAATACCTTCACAGAAATATCCAGAAAAATATTTGATCAAATCTTTGGGTACTATGGCCTAACCAAGTTGACATGTAAAATTAACCATCACAAGGGGCAAAGTCAAGGTTAAGCTCAGAGGATTGCTTTCCAATGTGTTATTTTAATCTGGTTTTATTCCAGAGGAAACTTTAGAGTGACTCTTTGGTTCTTTTTCCCAAACTAGAGTAAGCGCCCCCACTGTCTCTGCCCTGGTGCAGTATGATGGGGGTATGTGAAGCTTTAAGATAAACAGGACACATCTTCCTGGAATGTTAATTTTACCTAGTTTTGAGGGAAAAAGTACAGAATTAAAATATATTAATACTGAAAGAAGATTAAAAATATGAATAAAATTATAAATCCTCAAGACTTTTAAAGTTAAAACATGAGGCATCAGTATTTTTTTAATTTCTTAGGGCTACTTTCCAGACTGTCTTTTCCCCAGGAGAACATATTCATATAAGCGAACACAGATTGAACAGTATGAGAAATTCTGTTCAGTGTGATAGAAAGTAGTATTATTTACCTGATAACCTTTTTATGAAGTTCTAGAATTATAGAGAATTACAGAGATTAAAAAAAAACCACAAAACTTCTGTATCAACTTCTCTGAATTAACAAACAATAACAATTCTGGTTTTAATTCATACATACATATATATAAATATTTATGGCATATATAAACATATGTGATCAGAGAGAGGTAAAGATGTACATTTTAAAAAATTCAGGTAGAACTCATCCCCTTCCTCAGTCCTATTCCTTTCCTTTCTCCTTTGAGGAAACCAGTATCATAAATCTGGTATTTCCTTCTAGTCCATGTTTTTAATGTCCAAAAATAATACATTGTATTTTTAAAAACATTTACATGAATGGTTCTGGTCTTTGTTTTTTTGAGATTCATTCATTCAATAAAAATGAATTGAGTACCTACTGTGTTGCTAGGCATTGCTCTTAGTGCTGGGGATATAGCTCTGAAAAAAATAGACAATAATATCTGCAGTCATGGGCTAACATACTAGTGGAGAGCTTTTTAAAACTTATGTGTAGAGATATAGTTCACTTACTTTAATTGCTTTATAGTAGTCCATTATATGAACAATCTGCATTTTTCCTCTTAATTCAGGTGATTGTCATAAGTGCTATTGACCAGTATTTCCAGCTCAGCCTTTTTCTGGTGCACAGAGTAAGATTATATTTTGGGGGCTCCCTTGAGCTGTATCAACACCACATACTGAGTTGCCCTCCTGTATGGTATCCTTCTTACTCTACTTGGGCCCTAATACCCAGTGTTATGCTTCTGTCCTGCCTCAATGCCCTTCTCATCCCTGTTTGGCCCTGACACAGCTGCCTTCCTATACAGACAGTCTTACTTCACTAGGTCCCTTGAATCCCATGCTGGTTCATCTTACCCCTTATCCACCAGTATATGAATGCTCTCGTTTATTTGGATCTTTTTTAACAGTTTTCTACTTTTCAGTGAACAAGTCTTATATATCTTTTGTCATATTTATCCCTAATTATTTGATATTTTTTGATGCCTATTTTCAATGGTATTACTTTTTAAATTTTAATTTTCAGTAATTTATTACTAGTATAGTGTTAAATTTGTGTATTTATCTTTTATTCTGTAAATGATTAGTAAAATCATTTACTAATTCTAGTAGCTTTTTTGTATATTACATTGAATTTTCTATGTAGCTGATTGTCTCATCTTCAAATAAAGACAGGTATATTTCTTTCTTTCCAATTGGGATGCTTTCTTTTTTGGTTGGTTTTCTTGTCTTGTTGAACTAGTTAGAGTCTCTGAAAGTGAAGTGAAAGTCGCTCAGTCATGTCTGACTCTTTGTGACTCCATGGACTATACAGTCCATGGAATTCTCTAGGCCAGAATACTGGAGTGGGTAGCTATTGCTGTCTCCAGGGGATCTTCCCAGCCCAGGGATAGAACCCAGGTCTCCTGCATTGCAGGCAGATTCTTTACCATCTGAGCCACAAGGGAAGCTGGTTAGAGCCTCTGGTACAGTGTTAGATATAATGAGGCTAGGTATCTTTGTCCTATTCCTGATCTTAGGGGGAAAGCATTTAACCATTAAAATCACATGTTAGGTGTAATTTTTTGGTACATGTAATTTATAAGTTTGAAGAAGTTTGCTTCTATTTCTAGTTCTTGAAACTTTCTATTAGGAATGAATATTGGTTTTGTCAAATGCTTTTTCTGTGTAAGTGAGATGATCATCATGCATGCTAAGTTGCTTCAATTGTGTCTGACTCTTTGCAACACTATGAACTGTAGCCCACCAGGCTTCTTTGTCCATGAGGATTCTCCAGGCAACAATACTGGAGTGGGTTGCCGTGCCCTCCTCCAGGGGATCTTCCTGACCCAAGGATAGAACCTGCATTGGCTCCTGCATTGCAGGCGGGTTCTTTACTACTAGTGCCAGGTGATCATATGTTTTTTAAAAAATGCTCTTAGCTTCTTAATATGATGATTCATATTGAATGTTAAATGTTAAACTTGCATTCATGGAATAAATCCCACTTGGTCATGGTATACTGTCCTTTTTAATATGCTGTGGTATTTGATTTGCTAAAATTTTGTTAAGGATTTTTGTATCTGTGTTCATGAGAAATGTTTATCTGTGGTTTCCTTTTTGTGTTATATCTTTTTGGAATCAGATTCATGCTAGCCTTATGAATAACTTGGAAAGTTTTCTATCTTTGATTTTCTGGGATAATTTATAATAGTGTTAGTAATTATTTTCCTTAAACGTTAATACTTGGTAGAATCTACCATTGAAACCACTTAACCAGGAGATTTGCATGTTTTTGGTAAGAAAGTTCTTAATTACAGATTTAATTTTAAAAATAAATACATGGCTGTTTGCATTTTGTGTTTCTTGAGAAAATTTTATTTGTGTCTTTCAAGTAATTTGTCCATGTTATCCAAATCACTGAATTCAGTAACAAAAATTGTTAATTGTATTACTCTATTATTTTAACATGTAGAATCTATAGTGATACTTTCTCTTTGATTACTTATGTTGATGATTTGTCTTTTCTGTCTCTGTTTCTGTCTGTCTCTCATTATTTTGGCTAGTTGTTTGTCAGTTTCATTAATTTTTTGAAAATAGCATCTTTAGGTTTTATTTTTTTTCCTTATTTTCTATTTTACTGATTTTTGGCATGAGGAGAAAGAGACAACAGAGGATGAGATGGTTGGATGGCATCACTGACTCAATGGACATAAGTTGGGGTAAACTCCGGGAGTTGGTGATGGACAGGGAGGTCTGGTGTGTTACAGTCCATGGGGTCACAAAGAGTTGGACACGACTGAGCGACTAAACTGAACTGAATTGACTATTTCCTTTCTCCTATTTAATTGGGGTCTGATTTGCTCCTTTTTTTTCAGTTGAAGTATAATTGATTTGCAATGTATTAGTTTTAAGTGCACAGCAAAATGATCCAGTCACACACACACACACACACACACACACACACACACACATGCCTGGCTTGCAAACATGTCCATGTGGTTGCAAAGAGTAGGACACGACTGGGCGACTAAACAGCAACTCTCTCTATATCTATCTATCTCATGTCTTCTTTATCCATTCATCTGTTGATTGACACTTGGGTTGCTTCTGTATCTTGGCTATTGTAAATAATTTGTTCTTTTTTTTCTAGCTTTTTTAGGTGGAAGCCCAGGGCATTGATTTTGGTTCTGTTTTCTAATGTAGCTATTTAAAGCTGTACATTTCTCTTTAACAGTGCTTTAACTGAATCTTACATGTTTTATAATCTTGCAGTTTTTTTTTTACATTTATTTAAAATATTTTCTAATTTCTGTTGTTATTTTTAAAATTTATTTCATAGACTATTTAGAAGTTCATTGGTTAATTTCTAAATACTAGGGAATTTTCCAGATGTATCAAAATTGATTTATATTTTAGGTCATTGTGTTCATAAATGTAAAATGTATGATTTCAATCTTTTATATTTTTTGAGACTT